GGGGACCCTGTCGGGGAATAACCGCCCCGGCCCATTTTCGACACGCAGCGATTCTCTTTCTGTTATTACTCTTAAAAAAAAGAAAACATTTCTAAGTCATAGCACATCCGAATAGGCCAGCTATTCTTTCGCAAAGCATTCGATTCTTTTTTCCCCCAGGCCAGCCGGGGAAACTGGAGTAGCAAAGAGAGGATTTTGTACTGATAAAGATGTTAGTGCTGGGGGGGGGGGGGGGGGGAGAAAACCCAGAAACAGCCAGCGGGCGTGAAGGGCAAGGAGTCCTCAGCTAAACCGTGCTGATTTCAGTCACTGCAGAAATGTTTGAGAAGAGACTGGTGGTGGAGAGGTTTTTTTTTGGGGGGGGGTGGTCAATGGGGCAGGAAAATGGAAATTGAGAACACGGGTGTGAACCCAGTGGCGACTCTGCCTCCGGTGAGCTATTCCGCAAAGACCGTTTTAGGTGGACAGCCAGTATAACATCTAGACTCAAGTCCAGTGGTCCCTTAAAGAGAGCCAGTTTGGTACAGAGGTTAAGAGCAGCGGACTCTAATCTGGGAGGCCCGGGTTTGATTCCCCACTCCTCCACTTGCAGCTGCTGGTGTGACCCTGGGTCAGTCCCAAGTTCTCTCAGAGCTGCTTTCTCAAGGGCAGTCCCCAAAAGAGCTCTCTCAGCCCCACCGACCTCACAGGGTGTCTGTAGTGGGGAGGGGGAGGGGGAAAGGAGCCCAGACTCTAATAAGAGAGAACCGGGTTTCGATTCCCTGCTCCTCCACTTGCAGCCGCTGGTGTGACCCTGGGTCAGTCACAAGTTCTTTCAGAGCTGTTCTCTCAAGAGCAGTCCTCGAAAGAGCTCTCTCAGCCCAGCCTACCTCACAGGGTGTCGGTTGTGGGGAGGGGAAGGAGATTGTGAGGTTGGTCCTGCATTGGGCAGGGGGTTGGACTAGGATGGTCTGTATGGCCCCTTCCAAGTCTATGATTCTGTGATAAGTTGCTCTGAGACTCCTTCGGGGTAGTGAAAGGCGGGGTATCAATCCAATCTCTTCTTCATCTTCAAGAAGATTTCCAGGACAGAAGCTTTCGAGAATCGAAAGCTTCTATCCTGGACATCTCGTTGGTCTTTAAGGTGGCACGGGATTCGAATCAAGCTCTTAAGCAGCTCTACGGCAGTGATCTGGAAAAGATTTCCTGCCTAACCAGCCTGCAGGGAGGCCAAATTCGCGCCAAAAACGCTTTCGGCTTCGTGAGCACGTGCATTTGAAAAGGCAGGCGTTTTTTACAATGCACTCCCCTATCGAGGAGGCCGAAATCGGTCTATAGCCGAGCGAGAATTTCGGGAGCCGGCTTCTTTCCAACCTCCCCGTGCTTCGCCAGACATGCACGACCAGAACGTATGTGGTCTTCCGGCTAGCAAGAAAGGATGTCGGGGGACCCCTTAGGAGCTAGCTCCAACTTCCCCCTCCTGTTTGATGCCCGCTCAGGGAGAATCAGATTAACTACAAAAAAAAAAAGGCAGATTAAAAGTGACACTTTCCCGGCAGGGGTTTCTTTCTCGGCTCCAGGACAGGCAGAAATCCAACAGGTGCGGGGAGAAAGCAGCATTCTTGTAAAGAGAGGCAGCAACGCTAGAAGATGTGATAGATCGGGGGGGGGGAAGAACCTTCAAGCAGGGTTGCCAACGGACCGGGTGAAACGGCCCGAGCCTGCCCTTGTGCCTTTTGAAGCATGACAGTAGCCAGTGATGCTTTTTAAGGCACACGGCGGAAATATGGGCACCCGCTCGTGTTTGTGCCACAAACTGGGGGTTAAAGGAGCACCGAGAAGCTACCGGAAAAGCCGGGCACCTTGTCCTTCACCTTAGTTCTATGCTCACGGGTGTGTGGACGTGAGCAAACGGCTCTCGTTGCCAGAGACGCCAAAAGGTTCCCTCTCTCCAAAACAAAACCCTTTGCCTGATAGCAAGAAACAGAGAAAAATCTCGTGTCCCCTGCTCGGGAAAGCCTTCCTCCAAAAGGCCACCGTACGAGGTCTAGCTTCCCCTTACGGTGGCGCCACGGCTTCTACTAAAAAATAACGATGTTTCAAAATGGCACCCAGAGAGCTCTTCCCTGACCAGGGTGGACAGAAACGAGGAAATCACGGCAGCATCGCATTTATTCAAAACCTTTTACGAGGCAGCTCTAAGCGGTGTGTGGTTTGCCGGCTTCTAAGAAGCTAGAGCCCAGGGTCCCCCAATGCGGTGGTAGCAGCTACCACCACAGCACAAAGCTCTTCACGGTGTGACTGAAGAAAGCTGCTGCAGACATTTTGTGGCTGGCTCCACCTCCCGCAGCGGCCATTTTGTGGCGAGCTCTGCCTCCCGCAGCGGCCATTTTGTGGCTGGCTCCGCCTCCCGCAGTGGCCATTTTGTGGCTGGCTCCGCCTCCCGCAGCAGCCATTTTGTGGCTAGCTCCGCCTCCCGCATTGGCCATTTTGTGGCTAGCTCCACCACCCGCAGCGGCCATATTGAGGCTAGCTCCACCTCCCGCATTGGCCGTTTTGTGGCTAGCTCCACCTCCCATACTGGCTATTTTGTGGCTGCCTCCACCTCCCACATTAGCCATTTTGTGGCTAGCTCTGCCTCCCGCAGTGGCCATTTTGTGGCTAGCTCCGCCTCCTGCATTGGCTATTTTGTGGCTAGCTCCACCTCCTGCAGTGGCCATTTTGTGGCTGGCTCCACCTCCTGCAGCAGTCATTTTGTGGCTGGCTCCGCCTCCCGCAGCGGCCATTTTGTGGCTGCACCCACCCCACTAAATCGGAATTCTAAAGGTTGGAGACCCCTCAGCTCGAGATGATGTGGTATCGGCATCACCCAAGACAGGTAAGCATTAAAGAAGCTGAAAGAGAGAGAGAGAGAGAGGGAGGGAGGGAGGGAGGTTTCTTGCCTGCAGTGGAAAAACTCAAAGAGTTTCCCAGGATCCGCCCCTCAGGGCTTCATACTGTCTGCAGTACCGGTTACCTCCGGAGGAAGGTCGAGGGGTCATAGTGTGCCAAGGCCGCATAGCGTCCAGGCGCCCGGACTCCCAAGATCTGATACCAGAAGTACTTTCTCCAGCTCTGTGTGAGGGATACAGGCTACGTGGCGTTCGCCCTCCTCTTCGGCACATGTGTCCACGCAAACGCCTCTGCCGCTCTCCGCAAGAGAGGCGGGTGGGTAGAGGAGGGAGAGACGACCAATGCTCCCTCTAAGCTGTGGAGTCTCGTGAGCAAAAATTCTACTTTGTGAGCTCCTGGCATTAAAGCTGTGAGCGGGCGATTTGGCTGCTGCATAAATTAAGTTTGCTCTGGAGCCCTCCTTCCTGAGCGGAGGCAAAAAGGTGTGAGCCGGGGGCTAAAAAAACCGTGAGCTGGCTCACACCGACTCAACTTAGAGAGAACACTGGAGACGACAGAGGCGGCTCGCTGCGTCGCAGTGGGGGCCGAGTCCTAAGAAACAACTCCCTCGGGAGTTCTAATGCAGCGCTTCCCGAACTGACCCTTCGGCCGAACTAACCCCCACCCCCATCACTTGGCCACAGAGCTAGAACGGACCTTTGGAGTCCCAAAAAGACTTTCTGTCCTGCACAGATGGGCCGATGCAAACCAGACCAAAGGGTGCCCCCCCCAGTGGCATGGTGGCCTTTGACCGGTTTTATCTGCCCTGCGGCCATGCTCAGAAATAAGAAGACACGAAGCTGCCGTCACTGGAATCTCACCGGCTGCTCTTTCGTCCGGCGGGCGCAGGTGTCAAAAATCTCAAGGTAGGGGGGGGTCTTACCCCCCCGAGCTCTGCTTCCATAGATCCGTGAGCGAGAGAGTCCATGGATCGAACCTGGGACCGCCTGCGCTCAAAATCACCGCCTCTACCAACTGGTGACGGCTCCCAGCCCCAAATCTGCCGAATCGCTGCCTCCCAACAGAATTCAACCTGCTGAGAAGTCAACAGAGCAAAAAGGTCCTTCTGCTGGAGAAACGAGACCCGTTTTTTGCCTTTAGGGCAGACCCCAGTGTCTTGACGGAACTGCAGCGCGATGCTTTGTGCCTCGAAACCCAGCGCAAACGGATAAACGCCGTCCTCTGTGGGTTCTGTTGGCTGAGACTCCTGCCTCTACCTCTCCGATAGATGCAAAGTGGGGGGTGTGGGGCCTGAGTTTCGAGCACCAGTGTTTCGACTGACTTGCATACTGAGTAGAAAGAGTCCGTTGCATCGTGCGCGCGTCTCTCTGGACCGCATCTGGTCGACGTTTCGCAAGGGATTCCATGGCTCTGGAGCTTGGGAGGACGTACGCGTGAGGACGATCCAAGTCCTTCGGGCACGCAGAGTGGAAAATTCAAAATGGCAACCTTTCCTCCTACATGGGGCACAATCCGCTGGGGAGTTCTGCACAAGCACCGTCCTGCTTATAGAATCACAGAATGTTAGATGCTGGAAGGGACCTTGCAGGTCATCTAGTCCAACCCTCTGCACTCTGCAGGTGCAGAGTTTTAATAGGGCAAAGGCAGAAAGCATCCTTGCGGATCGTGCCTGAGGGTCAGACGTCTGTCTCGCAAGCAGCCATTTTCGGTGGCTCTCCAAACCTTGCCGCCGCCTCTGTATCTCATGGGAGCGGGCATCAATTCTTTCGGGAAACTGAGTAATGTCTACAAAAGCCGGCCGTTCCTCCGGACGAGAAAAGTATCCGCATAAAATGGGATTATTATTTTTTTGTGTGTGGAAAAAACAATATGCCGGGAAATAAGTTCCGTGACCTGAGGCCGCGCCGGCCGGGAAATCGCCACCGACGGTACGGCAGCACGACTTTTATTTTTCCATTAAGTCACAAGTTAAAAAACGGAAAGGGTGCGGGCAAACCGGCACGGGGACAAATCGGGATGAAGGAGGTGCGTTGAAGAGAGACCTGGATTCTATCGACCCGTTTTTGTTTTTTTTCTCTTACACAGACGGCCAGGCGTTTTAAACGCCAAACTAGTTGCTAGTTTCTTGCTTTAAAAAGGGGAAGGCAAAAAAAAAAAAAAGGCCCAGAACATTTGGAAATCAGTTTGCATAAGTTACTGAGTCGACTTCACCGGGAGATGTCTTGCGTTTCCAACTTGTTCTGACAAGCTCAAACAGGTAATTCAAGTGTGGGCTGTTTTTATATATATATATACACATATATTTCTTTCTTTCTTTCTGTTTTTGGTTTTTTTTAATTAATTAGCCTGGAACCTGCAAGAAAGAAAGACAAGAATTAACGTTTTCTCCCCAACAAAATGGGGAAACATCTACACATTTTAACCTTTCTTTTTTATTATTATTATTATTTTTTAATTGAGTATATATTACAATTTCATACAGATATTTCTTTCCAAATATATTATACTCCTTTTGAAATGAAACAAAAACCAAACAAACAACCATTGAGGTGACATATCGCCTGTTTATATCTTAATCCCAATCTTGTTTATACCCTCATCTTTTTCTTATTTCCTTATATTACCTGCTTATAATACCACCATGCAACTTCCTCTATATCATATTCTATTATATTCTTCTTGTGCCTTCTGCAGTACCTAGAAAAGAAAGCTGGACGGGGTTGCCTCCGATACTGGGTGCTGTAGAGAGAATCCCTACCGCAGGAGGGTAACCCCCACCCTTTCACCAGAGGTCTTTGGGGGTGCACACCCTTCACCTCCTTGCTATGCCCTTGTTATAATACTTCAACTCCTACATTACTTCCTCCTTTCTAATAGTTACTCCTTGTATCTAATTCTATGTTCCCAACTTATATTTATTAATTTTAATTGCTCTCCACCTAACTTAATATGCCATTGTCAAGTCCCAAGACCCACTGCCTTCTTCAAACTCCTCCGTCTGTTTGCTTAGTAACTGCGTCCAAAAGTTTTTTGCCCGTGGTCTCATTGTAAGCGGTGAAAGTTTTTCCATTTAGATTGACCACTAGGTGGCTCTCCCCAAAGGGAACGGGGCTTCGAAAGAAGGGTGTGGATCCCCCAGTTCCCGCACGACGAGACTCGTTTCTAGAAGAGAAGGATCCCCGGAAGGAACTTGCAAAGCTGCAAAGACACCTACGCTGGAGAAGGCGGGAAGAAGGCAGAGCTACAAGCCGCGGGAGTTGCTCCACTGTCGCTCCCGGCCGCATTTGGATCTCATTTCCTGGACTGCCCCCGTCTGCGTACAGAGAGAGAGAGGTTGTAAGGAGTGGGTTACTTGTCGCACGTACTACTGGATGACAACCTGCCCGGAACCGGTCTATATGTTCAAAACAAGCACACCTTGCCGGGCCCTTCCCGGAACTCTCCTGCTGCGGACCGCCAATGAGGCAGATCGTATCTTTAAAGCCATCGGTCACACTCAAAAGTCCTTGTGCCGCAGCCCACGGTTCCCCAACGTGGTGCCCGCCAGAACTCCCAATGGTGCCCGCCAAGCTTTTCAGAAAGGGGGTGGGGCCATTGTAAGGCAAGGCTCGTTATTGGCTGCCCTTATTCAAATGAGAGGGCTTTCCACTGGGGGATGAGGAGGCTTGGTAGGCACCTGGCCTTTCCTCAGTATGCGGTTCTGTCTTCGCTTCGGACTTTACTTCTCCCCAGGAGGTGTGAGGAAGGAGGTGTTCCATTTGGCTCCACCTCCTGCGGCAGCCATTTTGGGCTTGACGCCGCCCTTTTCCGGCAGCCATTTTGGAGAACGGTTCTTGGGAGGATCTCTCTAAATCGGGTGGGCGGGCAAGGACGTGACAAATGAAGTTCAACGTGGCCAATTGTACGGCAGGGGTCCCCGGCCTTCGGGATCCTGTGGGCGACTTTGGAATCCTGACGCGGTGTGGTGGCCACAGTCGCAAAATGGCTGCCACAAGAGGCGAAGCCGGCCACACAAAATGGCTGCCGCGGCTTACCTCCCGCCACGTGGGGAAGACACCACGAGAGCTCCGTGGCTGGCTCTGCCTCCCGAGGCAGCCAATTTATGACAGAAATTTTGCGGCGGCGGTGGCGCCCCCCCGTGTCAGAATTCACACAAACTGAAAAGCGTTGGGGACCCCTGCAGTAGGCATTGTGAAAAACCCTCTGCCTGAGACCCTGGAGAGCTGCTGCCAGTCTGAGTAGACAATACTAGAGATGTAAAATTTCCGGAAATTTTGAAGGTCGGAAAAAAAACTGGTATTTTTCCAGTTTTTTTCGGGGGGAAATGGAAATTTTCGGGAAAATTGAAAAAAATGTTATATTAGCATTTCGTTTGTCTTTTCTAGATTGAAAGTCATTTTGTTACTTTAGGAACATAAAATATGACTATGGTCATTTTTACTTGGCATGAAATGATCACAACTAGCATATTAAAAATATAGTGTATCCAAACAATGATTACAAACAGAATACCCACCCACATGCAAAAACAAAACTGAAACCTTTCTCTTTTCTTCTGACAACAGCCCCTCCTAAAGGAAGAAGTGCATCTTGTTCTTGCAGTGGAGAGTTCAGTTTGTAACCTAGGACTTGTTTGTCCTCAAGTGCACAGAAATTAGATCAATCTGATACCATATATATATATATATTTAGAAATGATTTGGAAAATATCTGAACACCTTGTCTTAAAATATTTTATTAATCATGTTAAAATAAAACGTTCCATAACCATTTTTTTCCCCTTTTCTTTTCTTTTTCCAATTTTTCGGAAAAAAACCCAAAAAAGGCTTCAGGGAAAAAACGTGTGGGTTTTCTCCCCGAATTTTTCCGGTTTTTTCCCCAGGCCTTCACACCTCTAGACGATATTGACCCTCACAGACCAAAGGTCTGTTCAATCTCAAACAGCTTCGTGTGTTTGTGTTCCCATCTGCCCTCCTTCAGTTTTTAATTAACCGGGCAGGACAAAAATACAGAGCGGTACGGCTTGTCCCCACGGTGACCCTCCTGCCCTGCAGGAAGAAAAAGCGGTTCTGTTGCTGCCGCCCAGGTCAGCAATCTTCACTTTCCTCTCATGGGCGAGTTAAGAATTAGCCTTCTGCGCCCTGCCAAAGGCGTGTGCACGCCAGGAGAGAGAGAGAGAGAGAGAGAGAGACTCGCAGTAGCTGACACTGAATTTTAATCATGCGTTTCGAGGCAAAGCGCACCTTCCTCTGCATGATTTAGTCTCTACTTATACGAGTCACTGGGCGGAACGCGGAGGTATGGGAAAGCGGTGCGGAAGGCAGACCAGGCCGGGTGTTCCCATTTGGTGGCACCGGGATGGCGGAAATCCCTTCCCAAAGGGGCCTGTCCCGTCTCGTCCGTGACACAAGAGTGTCATTTCAGAGGCTCTGACAGGCTCACTGATGGCGTCGCCTTGTCTCCAATGGTGTTCTGTTTTGCTGATTCCCCCCCCCCCCCCCAATTGGCTGTTGACGTTCTGTGACTTTGCACCATCCTTAAAAAAAACATTACGGGATGTATTTTAGACCGACACGCACCTTGTGCATCTGTACAGGTCACACACATGAAGTTGCCTGATCCTGAATCAGACCCTGGGTCCATCGAGGTCAGTCTTGTCTACTCGGACTGGCAGCCGCTCTCCTGGTCCTTTTAACTGGAGATTCGGGGGAATGAACCTGGGACCTTCTGCCTGCCAAGCAGAGACTCTACCAGTGAGCCACAGTCCCTCCCCAAAGCATGAAGCGGCCTAATACAGAATCAGACTCTTGGTCCATCCAGTTCAGTCTTGTCTACTCAGGCTGGCAGCCGCTCTCCAGGGTCTCAGGCGGAGGCCTTTCACATCACTTACTGCCTGATCCTTTAACTGGAGATGCTGGGGATTGAACCTGGGACCTTCTGCATGCCGAGCAGATGCTCTTCCACTGAGCCACGGCCCCTCCCCATTCTTGGTCGACCAAAGTCTGTATTGCCTACTCAGACTGGCAGCCGCTCTCCAGGGTCTCAAGTGGAGGTCTTTCCCATCACTTACTGCCTGATCCTTTAACTGGAGATGCTGGGGATTGAACCTGGGACCTTCTGCATGCCGGGCAGATGCTCTGCTACTGAGCCATGGCCCCTCCCCTTAGCAGCTCTCCAGGGTCTCAGTCTTTCACATCACCTCCCTCTTTGGTCTTTTTACCTGGAGATGCTGGGGACTGAACCTGGGACCTTCTGCATGCCAAGCAGATGCTCCTCCACTGAGTCACAGCCCCTCTATCCAAAGGCAGGATGCAGGTTATGAAATAAATAAAGAGGGCCACTCTCCCTCAGCAAAGCCTTAAGGACTAGCAACTTGCTCTTTAAAAAGAGCCAAGATTTTCAGGACTGCAGTGCGTTGCCGTGGTGAGATCACCCTTATGTACGAGTTCAGCTAATCAGCAAAACTTAAAGCAGAAGGAAGCCGGTTTTGTTTCAAAGAGACGAGGCAGGCCGGGGCATGTTGGGGAACCACTACCCTCTCGTGAAATCTCCTTAACGGAGCCTCTGCTATCGTTCCAGAAGCATGCTGACTGCAACCTGGAGCAAGTTCGGGTCCTCATCTCTGTGGCAGTTGTGGTCCCTCACTGCCAAAGCCCTCTCGGGCATGGGTGCCCAGTGTTCGAGGTTCGGAAATCCTATGAATACCAGAGCCAGGAGGCAACATCAGGGGAAGGCCTTGGCCTCTCTGCCCTGTTGTTGGCCCTCCAGAGGAACTGGTTGAGGCCCCTGTGTGGGACGGGATGCTGGACTGGATGGACCCTCACTGCTCTGACCCAGCAGGACTCTTCTGCGGTTCTGATTAGGGGAAGGCCTCGGCCTCTCTGCCCTGGTTTTGGCCCTGAAGATGAACTGGTTGGCTACTGTGTGAGACAGGAGGCTGGACTAGATGGACCTTCACCGGTCTGATCCAGCAGGGTTCCTCTGATGGTCTTATGAGGGGAAGGCCTCAGCCTCTCTGCCCCATTGTTGGCCCTCCAGAGGAACTGCTTGGCCACTGTGTGAGACAGGAGGCTTGACTGGATGGACCCTCACTGGTCTGACCCAGCAGGGCTCTTCTGAGGTTCTTCTCAGGGGAAGGCCTCGGCCTCTCTGCCCTGTTGTTGGCCCTCCAGAGGAACTGGTTGGCCCCTGTGTGAGGCAGGAGGCTGGACTAGATGGACCCTCACTGGTCTAACCCAGCAGGGCCCTTCTGAGGTTCTCCTCAGGGGAAGGCCTCAGCCTCTCTGCCCTGTTGTTGGACCTCCAGAGGAACTGGTTGGCCACTGTGTGAGACAGGAGGCTGGACTAGATGGACCCTCACTCGTCTGATCTGACAGAGCTCTTCTGATGTTCTTCTCAAGGGAAGGCCTCGGCCTCCCTGCCCTGTTGTTGGCCCTCCAGAGGGACTGGTTGGCCCCTGTGTGAGACGGGATGCTGGACTAGATGGACCCTCACTCGTCTGATCTGACAGAGCTCTTCTGAGGTTCTCCTCAGGGGAAGGCCTCGGCCTCCCTGCCCTGTTGTTGGCCCTCCAGAGGGACTGGTTGGCCCCTGTGTGAGGCAGGAGGCTGGACTAGATGGACCCTCACTCGTCTGATCTGACAGAGCTCTTCTGATGTTCCTGTTATGGTGGTTGGTAGATGGCATGAACATGCTGCCGTTTTGGACACAGTCTGATCTCAAGGGTAGTTTAGTCTCGAGTAAGCCCTACTGATTTCAATGGGGTTTATAGACAGGAATGCAGGCAGAGGCTGGCCATTAGGGGGAGCGCAAGAGCAAACATTTCCTTTCAAAATAACCTCGCCAGACAGCCCACCGGTCTGCCTGGCTTTCTCCTGCGGCACATGGTTCCCCAAGGCCGGGAACAACAAAGGCTGCGTGCCCCGGTGCTTCTGGCCTGCAGATTCAGAGCGAGGAGCTCCCTCCCTCCCACATCCATGCACAGGCACATAAATTTTCAAGGAAGTGAGAGAGACGGCCTACCATGGGCAGCCCTTCATTTGCCATGTCTCCGGACCCGATGTGCGTCAGGTGGACAAAGTTCAGCGGCTCCCCTATCATGCTGCGGTCGATTCGCCGCCTCTTCTTTTTCTGCAGAGACAAGCACGACAGCCAAGGATTCAGTTTTATTTATTGACTCAAAACATTTATTGTAAATTTCAGAGCAGGGGAGAGAGCAGGTCAGAAACAGAAGAAATGAATGAATAAATGAACGAATGAATAAGCAAGCCGCCTTTCTCCTTGCAGAACTCACGCCTGATTGCAATACAAATGAAAGATCATCAAAAAAATATAATAAAAGCAACCATGATTTTTTAAAAACCCATAAAATGCCCAAGGAGGTGTGCCAATGAATTAAAAATTCATCCGTCAAATGCAGTCCTAAATAAAACTGTCTTCAACGGTCTCCTGAAGATCATAAGTGAGGGGGCCGGGGCACCTCCATGGGGGGGTTGTTGCATAATTGCGGGGCCACCACCGAAAAGGCCCCGTCTCGTGTGCCCACCAGATGCGCTTTTTTGATTGTTGGAGCAGGAAGAAGAAGAGGAAGAGGAAAAGAGGAAGAAGAGGAAGAGGAGGAAGAAGGATGAGAAGGAGATTGGATTCATACCCTGCCCTTCACTACCCAAAGAAGTCTCAGAGCGGCTTACAAACTCCTTCTCCTCCCCACAACAGACACCCAATGAGGCAGGCAGGTGGGGCTGAGAGAGCTCTTGACAGAAACTGCTCTTTTTCAAGGACAGCTCTTGCCAGAACTATGGCTTGCCCAAGGTCATCCAGCAGCTGCAAGTGGAGGAGTGGGGAATCAAACCCGGTTCTCCCAGATTAGAGTCCGCAAACTCTTAACCACTACACCAAACTGGCCCCTCCTTGTGATCTTAATTCCCAGGCAGAAAGGTGTGGGGGAGGGAGAAAACCCAAGCAAGGCTCACTTCTGTGATAGATGCCCATGGACCTGGAGGATCCATCTGATAAGGGCTGCCAACCCCAGAGCGGGCACAGAGGTCTCCCGGAAGCAGCCAGAATCAAGAGTCCAGGAGCACCTGAAAGACTAAGAAAGTTTACAGCAGGGGAGGAGCTTTCGTGAGGCCCTGCTCGCTTCTTCTTTCAACTAAGCTCCAGACTGCAGGGACCAGTTCCCCTGGAGAAGACGGCTGCTCCGGAGGGTGGACTCTGTGGTATTAGACCCCGCTGAGGCCCCTCCCACCCCAAACCCCGCCCTCCCCAGGCTCCACCCCCCAAATCTCCAGGTATTTCCCAATCCAGAGTGGACAACCCTATTAAGACCGTCCCTGATGAGAAATGCCTGCGTTGTTCTGTTAGCCCGTTCCTTTCTGTGGGCACATCAGTCTAGGATTTTGTGATCAAGAAAGCAAAACGGGAAAGGCCAGTCTCTGCCCACAAGGTGTTTACAACTTTGCAGCTATATTCGAATCCAGGCCCCAGGTTTTTCTGCACACTAGGCAAGGATACCTTCTGCCCCCCCCCCCGTGCGCCCCCCAATTTTCAAACATAAATGCATTTTAGGAAGAATGAACAACACAAAATCTGAAAGGTTGTGAGGTCGGTGGGGCTGAGAGAGCTCTTTCAAGGACTGCCCTTGAGAGAACAGCTCTGAGAGAACTTGTGACTGAGCCAAGGCCACGCCAGCAGCTGCATGTGGAGGAGGAGTGGGGGAATCCAACCCGGGTCACCCAGATTAGAGTCTGCGCTCCTAACTACTAATTCCTGGGGGTGGGGAGGCCAGTGGCTCCTGCTCCTCCAAGAGCAGGACGGCTGTGCTTCTGAGCGCACTGAAAGTCCCGGCGGCGCACAGCAGTCACCCACCCAGTCAAGAAAGTTGCAGGGCTTTTGGCCAGGGGGGAGGGGGCGGGTGCCAGTTTGGCGCCCCTAAGGGCCGGCGCGCTCTAGGCAAGCGCCTAGTTTGCCTAGTGAGCGAGCCAGCCCTGACCGTAGAGACTAACAAGATTTTCTGGTCAAGTTGGGTGGCCGTGTTAGTCTGTCTGTAGCAGTAGCAAAGAGCAAGAGTCCAGGAGCACCTTCAAGACTACTACGACTACAACTACGACTACGACTACTACAACATCACCCTATCCCAGCTTACACTGATCTTCTGGGCAATGCACAAGGCACAAGGCCATAAAATATACAAAAACATTAAAATTCAGTGTATGATTTAATAAAAATTACAATGCAGAATAAAAATCCAAGATGGCAATTTCCCCGTATTATTTGTCACCAAAGACTCCAGGACACTAGAGTATGGATTATTGCCATTAAGAGACAACAATGATCTCATTGCTCATATGTTAACGGAGTCCCAGTCTTCTACGTGGCTTTGTCATATAGAAGAAAAAACCAATTCAATTGGGCTTAACATTGGAGACCTATATCTGTACACAGAAAAGTCAGCCTTTAGACTGATCATAGAATCATAGAATGTGAGAGTTGGAAGGGACCTTGCAGGTTATCTAGTCCAACCCCCTGCACTCTGCAGGAGCAGAGCCGAAAGATAGCCCTAAATACCTACAACATAACCGAAAGATGGCAGTCCAGCCTCCGCTTGGAAACGTCCAGCGAAGGAGCATCTACCACCTCCCGAGGCAGTCTGTTCCACTGCTCAACCCCTCTTACAGTTAGGAAGTCTCTCCCGATATTTAGCCGGTAACGACTCCCTTGTAATTTCCACCCATTAGATCTAGTCTTGCAATCCAGAGCAAGAGAGAATAGATCTGCTCCATCTTCTACATGACGGCCCTTCAGATACTTGAAGACTGCAATCATGTCCCCTCTAAGCCTTCTCTTTCCCAGGCTAAACAGACCCAACTCTTTCAGCCTTTCCTCATAAGACTTCGATTCCAACCCTCTCACCATCCTGGTTGCCCTCTTCTGGACACGCTCGAGCTTGTCAACACCCTTCCTAAAATGTGGTGCCCAAAACTGGACGAGGCCTGACCATAGCAGAATAGAGCGGAACGACCACCTCCCGTGATCTGGACACAAGGCTTCTGTTAATGCATCCTAAGATTGCATTAGCTTTCTTCGCAGTCACATCAGTATTCCATGGGAGATTCCAAAAAATCCCATTCGACAGTAGATTGTGTTCCTGCTGCACTAAGCAGGAGATGGAAACTCTTGAACATGTGTTTCTTTCATGTTCTTTCTACTCGGACCTGCGCCTTACATTCATCGAGCCCTGGTTGAGAAAGTATTCAGGGAAACCTGATAAATGTGCGATTTACTTTTCCGCTGACAACCCAGAATCACACAATCATTGAAAGTGTTGCAAAATTTCTGTATGAAGCTTCAAGAAAGCGTTCAGTACTCCTTGCAAACTGAGTCTTATGTTCTGTATGTTATGCCAATAAAGGTCGATTGATTGACTGATTGATTATATTATATTATAGCTTTGGGAAAAGTGCAGAAAAGGGCAACTAGAATGATAAAAGGGCTGGAACACTTTCCCTATGAGGAAAGGTTAAGGCGCTTAGGGCTCTTTAGCTTGGAGAAACGACGACTGAGGGGTGACATGATCGAGGTTTATAAGATTATGCATGGGAAAGAGCAGGTAGAGAAAGAGGTACTTTTCTCCCTTTCTCACAATACAAGAACTCGTGGGCACTCCATGAAACTGCAGAGCGGTCGGGTTAGAACGGATAAAAGGAAGTACTTCTTCACCCAAAGAGTGATTAACACATGGAATTCACTGCCACAGGAAGTGGTGGCAGCTACAAGCATGGACGGCTTCAAAAGGGAATTAGATAAGCATATGGAGCAGAGGTCCATCAGTGGCTATTAGCCACAAGGTATAGCTAGGGGCTCTGGGGCAAGTGATGCTCTGTCATCTTGGTGCTTGGGGGGGGGGGGTCAACAGTGGGAGGGCTTCTAATGTCCTGGCCCCACTGCTGGACCTCCTGATGGCACTGGTATTTCTGGCCACTGTGTGACACAGAGTGTTGGACTGGATGGGCCTTTGGCCTGATCCAACATTGGCGTCTCTTATGTTCTTATGTTCTTAAACCACTAGGCCATTCAGGTTTGACCCAGAGCATATCACTGATGAATATACAGTGGAGGTGAACAATAGGTTTGACTAGATTTGATAGACAGAGTGCCTGAAGAAGTATGGATGGAGGTTTATGACATTGTACAGGAGGCAGCAATCATAACAGCTCTGCCTTACAGGCCCTGCGGAATTGCATTAGATCCCGCAGGGCCCTGATGTCATTTGGCAGAGAGTTCCGCCAGGCCGGGGCCAGGACCGAGAAAGCCCCGACCCTGGTCGAGGACAGCCGGACATCCCTAGGGCCGCGGATCACCAGCAACTTGTTCAAGGAGCGGCAGGCACTCCCGGGGACATACCGGAGGAGACGGTCCCGTAAATACGTTGGTCTAACAAAATTTGTGACAGGGGATGAGCTTCTGCGAGTCTGACGAAGTGAGCGGTGACGCACAAAAGCTCCTCCCCTGCCACAAGCTTTGTGGCAGTCTGGTGTAGTGGTTAAGTGCGCGGACTCTAATCTGGGAGAGCCGGGTTTGATTCCCCACTCCTCCACTTGCGGCTGTTGGATGACCTTGGGCAAACCGTAGTTCTGATAAGAGCTGTCCTTGAAAAAGAGCCGTTTCTGTCAAGAGCTCTCTCAGCCCCGCCCACCTCGCAGGGTGTCTGTTGTGGGGAGGGGAAGGGAAGGGAAAAGGAGATTGTAAGCCACTCTGAGTCACCTTTGGGTAGTAAAGGGCGGGGTATAAATCCAATCTCTTCTCTTCTTCTTCTTCTCCTCCCCACAACAGACACCCTGTGAGGTAGGCGGGGCTGAGAGACCTCTTTCGAGGACTGCTCCTGAGAGAACAGCTCTGAGAGCCCCCGGTGCGCTCATAAGGAAATGGAGTCTGCAAAAGGCAGCCTATGAAATTTCTTCTTTGTTCCGGGAAGCGGGGAGCAGAGCAAGACAGGGGTGCGACAGGCATTCCTCCCTGGGTTTGGTGTAGTGGTTAAGTGCGCGGACTCTAATCTGGGAGAACCGGGCTTGATTCCCCACTCCTCCACTTGTGGCTGCTGGATGACCTTGGGCAAGCCGTAGTTCTGATAA